ATTGGGTATATTCCTATGAGCATTCTGGTCTTCTGAGCTCACACCAGAATCATCCATTAAGTGTCACTTACAATATTCTAGGGCTTTTCTAGCTTCATCTCAAAGCCTTCCCAAACTCTTCCCACAAACCTATTTTGAAGGTTTCTGAACCACATTGTCAAGTATAGTCCTATCAACAACCACATACATGCTTCTTCGAACCCATTTTCTGTGTTAGTCAGATTTTTGTCACTGTGACAAAATACATGAGCAAACAACTTAAAGGAGAGCAGATATATTTGGCTCACAGTTTTAGAGGTTTCAGTCCACAGTTGGCTGGCTCCATTGCTATGGGGCTCTGCTGAGGGGCATGGCATCCAGGAGCAGATCACCTCCTGGCAGCAGGGAAGGAAAGAGGTATAGAGAGAGTGGGGAGGGGAAACACATGAAACGTATGGGGACAAGATATACCCTTCAAGATCATGCCCCCAGTTCCCTACCTCCTCCAACATGCTGCACCTCCTTAATAGCCCATTCAGTGATGGACTTATCCATGGATGAATCCATTGATGAACTCTTTTTTTTTTAATATTGTTTAGTTGTTGGTGGACCTTTATTTTACTTATTTGTATGTGGTGCTGAGAATCGAACCCAGTGCCTCACGCATGCTAGGCAAGCACCCTACCACTGAGCCACAACCCCAGCCCCTCCATTGATGAACTTGGTGTCTTCTTGATCCTATCCTTTTCCCAAAGCCCCACCTCTGAACATTTCTGTGTTGAGGACTATTATGGTTTGGATAGGATGTGTCCCCCCAAATCGCCTGTGTTTCTGTAGGGATATTCAGACTTGAAATGATTGAATTGTGAGATCTGTAACCTAATCAACCCATTCTACTTTTAATGCATTGAGTGGGAACTAGGCAGATGGGGCATAGCTGGGGGAGGTGTTGCATCCCCAGAAACAGTGCATCTTCCCTACTTCCCTTCCCCCTTCTCTCTCTTCCTGATCCTGCTAGTAGCCGAGCAGCTTTCCTCTGCTGGGCCTTTCCGCCATGATGTGCTGCCTCACCTTGGGCGAGGAGCCGAGGAGGTAGCTATCTATGAACTGTGACCTCTAAAACTGTGAGACCCCAATAAACTTTTCCTCCTCTCAGTGGTTCTTGTCAGATATTTTGGTCACAGCAAGGCAAAAACTGACTCAAACAGGGACCAAGCCTTCAATACATGAGGCTTGGAATAGTCCAGATCCAAATCATAACAAAAACCCACTTTTAGTTCTTTCAGAAATCGTGTACCCAGAAGTAGCATTACTGGATCATATGGGAATTCTCATTTAAATTTTCTGAGAGCCCGCCACACTCTTTCCCATAGCAGCGGCACCTTTTTACAATCTCATGGTGCTCATAGATTCCCATTTCTCTTTATCCTCAGCAGCATTTGTTATTTTAGTCATCCTAATAGGGATGGGGTGACATCCTGTAGGTCTGATTTGCATTTCTCTAATGATTAGTGATGTTGAGCATCCTTTCATGTGCTTGTTATCTGTTTATACATCCTCTTTGGAGAAATGTCCATTCGAGTCCTTTGCTCATTTTTCAGTTGGTTTTTCAAGTTGCTATTTTGAGTAGAGGAGCTCAGTTGTTGAGGAGCTCTTTTTTATTCTGAATAGTGACCCCTCATCTGACATATAGTTGGCAATTACTTCTCAATTGCTACACTTGGATTTCCTTTTCACTGCTGATTTGCCCTTTTCTATACAGAAAAATTTCAATATCGGTGGAGTCCCAATTAGACAAATGGGACTTATTATGTTCCTATTTGTTTTTCAGTACTGGGGCTTGAAACCACAGGCGCTTTACCACTGAGCTAGATCCCTAGTCCTTTTATTTATTTTTTTTTATTTTGAGACCGGGCTTCACTAAGTTGCTGAGGCGGGCTTTGAATTTGTAATCCTCCTTCCTCAGCCTCCTAAGCCACTGGGATTACAGGTGTGTGCCAACACCTCAGGCTGATGCTCCTAACTCTCAATAAGCATTGATAACTGTAGATAAAAAATTAACTCTGCAGTTTGTTCCTTTGAGCTAGTCATCCCAACCCATTTAATTTAATTTATATTTTTGTGGTGCTGGGAGTGGTAGGCAAGCACTCTACCACTGAGCTACACCCCTGTCAACTCTCCCAACTGTTTTTATAAGACCATCCAGACTGTGGTCTTCATTGCCTGTGACATACACTTGTGCAGAATAAGAGTTGAATCCACCTTCCTCTCTTTTTCCTTGAGCATTCACAACTGAATTTGCATAAATCACACTTAATGATTTGAACCTACTGAAGTAGCTACTTCTAAATCTAAATCTAGAAATAGAATACTTACAGTTTTTGACCATTTGGGACATCTAATTTTTTTGCCAGTCCGTGCAAGCTTCATATATCATACACTCTAACCACTGGAGAGACTGATTGTATATAACAATAGGACTTCCTCCCTCTGCAGCTACCAGTGCAAGCAGCCAAACCACCCCTTTGCAGCAATCCACCCAGCCTAGTAAGGACTTGCTCAGTGACGCCCTGCTTCCCCATTTTACTCTCTCTTCCCAGCTTTCAACTCAAAACCAACCAGAAAAGGCTGAAGACACTCCCCAAACAAATCACCTAAGATGCCTAGCTTCTCTTGCCTAGCTTGCCTCTAGCTTCCTCAAGCCTAAAAATTCAGTCAGAGCACACCTGAAATCTCCTTTTTTTTTAAAAAAAATATTTTTACTGTTATTAAGCTTTCTTACCCTTACTCAAATCTCTGCCAAAGGCAAGAGAGGGTGGTTGACTCCTTCACTGTAGAAAGCTGGGGTTCTCATTTAGGGAGGTCTTTATTTCCACACTGTATGGATTACAAATCCTTTTCACATGCCTTGGTCTTTAATTCTTAATGATTTTCAAAATGCTATGATGCTATGCTTTTTATGATGCTTTTAACATACATGATGTAAATGTTTGTGTGATCACATCTATTCAACTCTGTCGTGTGGTCAGACTACATTACTTTTTGACATGGCATAGCCTTCTGTCCAGGTTGTGGGTTGAAGTCAGACATTAGCCTCTGCTCTAACGTATGAAAATGAGGGTATAAATCCACCAGGAAAGGGCCAAGAGAATGGGTGGGCCCTCTTTTCCTTCCCCTGCTCCTTTCTAGAATGGTGTCACCCAAGACTGTGTTTTTAAGGCAGGAGATTGTAAATGTCTTCCCTGAATAGTGATGATAAGAATAGCTAGCGCTTATTTAATGCTTACTGTGTGCCCGACAGTGTTTTATAAAAACAAATTTGTTTAATTCTCACATCAAGCATATAAGATAGGCATTGTCATCACCCCCATTTTGCAAATAAAGAAACAGGCTCAAGCAGGTAATCACAGTTACTCAGGAGGCTGAGGCAGGATCTTGAATTCAAAGTCAGCCTGAGTAACATACAGACCCTGTCTCAGAGAGAGGGAGAGACAGGGGCAGAAAGAAAGAAAGGGAGAAAGGAATTGCAGTCCAGAAAGGTCAGGTAAATTGACCAAGATTACTCAGCAAATGAGTGGTAGACCTCAAATTTGTCCCTGACTCTATACCTAACAACTGCCTGTTGTTTCTTCTTTAGGGAAGATCTAAAGATACTGACATCCAGCTGTGCACAGCAGCTCAGGAGGTTGAGAAAGGAGGATTTCAAATTCAAAGCCAGCCTCAGCCCCAGCAATGGTGAGGTGCTCAGCAACTCAGTGAGACCCTGTCTCTAGATAAAATACAAAATATGCTGGGGATGGGGCTCAGTGGTTGAGTGCCCCTGAGTTCAGTCCCCAGTACCAAAAAAAAAAAAAAAAAAAAAGAAAGAAAGAAAGAAAGAAAAAAAAAAAAGAAAAAGAAAAAGAAAAAAAAGACATGCAGTGTTTCCCACAAAGTATTCCATCCTGATCACTATACAGTGAACCTCTAGTTGAAAGGCCCCCCTCATAACCAGAACTTCCTATCAGACTATTGCTGGACTCTTAGATATGAGAAGACTGAAGACTGAAGGCATTTGAGGAACTGTTTTGCCTTTTTTGTTTTAATCCACTCTGATGTACAATTTGTGCAGAATAAAATATACCTATATTAAGTGTACAGTTTGATGAGTTTTGGTAAACATGTGTACCGGTGTAATCACCAATACAATCAATATGTGAAACACTGTCTACCCAGGAAATTCCATTGTGCCCCTTTTGCAGTCAATTTCCATACCAACCCCCTCCCCAGAGTACCACTAACCTAATTTCTTTCACTTTAGTTAGTTTTGCCTGTTGTGAACTTCATACAAATGGAATTATGCAGTATATTCCCTGCCATTTGGGCAGCAGCACACATCGACTTGTTTCTTGGATTAGAGGTTTGCTCCTAGCATTGATGTACACCTGTAATCCCAGTGATGTGGAGGCTGAGGCAGGAGGATAGCAAGTTGAAGGCCAGCTTGGGCAATTTAGCAAGACTCTGTCTCAAAAAGTAAAGAGGGCTGGGGATGTGGCTCAGTGCTAGAGCACCCCTGGGCTCAATCCCTGGTACTCTAAATAGTAATGATGATGATGATGATGATGATGATGATAATAATAATAATAATGTTTGTTCCTTTTCATTGTGAAATATATATATGATGAAATATTGTGTGTATTTATCTACTCCCCTGTTGATGGGTATTTGGGATGTTCTAGTTTTTTTTTCACCCAAGAAAAATATTTAATATAAATAATCTTAAAATATTAATATAAAAGTCACTGTCAAATGGATTAATCTGTGGTTATTGAGTTATTTCCATAAAGCATTTAACTCATTATCAACTATTTTATTTGGGATATTTGTCTAGTCCTAAGTCCAGTGGTAAATATATAAGAACTATATAACTGCAGAGTTGGGAGTGGGGACAGTGTCCTGCTTCTCCCAGAATGACAGCTGTGCTTTGTGGGCAGGGCACTGGGTAGAGAAGACACCTCTGGAATGTCTTCTTGGTTTCTTCTAGAACCTGAACCCTACTGTTGGACTGGATTCTGGGCTTGCTGCCCTGAGGTACAGCCACCATATGAGTGGAGCTGGGGGTAAAAAGGAAACCTCCAGCCTCGTGTCCATGCTCACCTGGAATTTAGCTTCTTCATCCACAGCTGGGAAGAATAACAGATGCCCAGGACCTGTTCTTGGGGAGATACTCCAGTGCTTGACCGGGAGCTGGGGGGAGAAGGAACCACACACCCAGCTCGAGTGGCTTCCATCAGGCAGAAACTGGCACGGCCAGGGAGAGGTAGGGGCTCATGTGCTGTGGACTCCAGCTGATCTTACCAACACTTAGTACATGTTTCCCAATTCCTCGTATGTCCTTAGGACGCTTTTCAGAACATTTAATTTTTTTTAACTAATTGTGACCAATTATGGCTTTTTCACTGGGAAGCGAGTCTATAGAACTCTAGAATCTCTCAACAAATACTCTTTTGCACTTCGGGTTTTTTTTTTTAATTTAATGTATTAATATATCAAGGACATTACTTCATATCATCAGTTTATAGAGATCATCCTCATTCTTTCAACAGAAGCAGAGTACTTCACTGTGTGGTTGTATCAAAATTTATTCATCCACTGACTTACGTAGGGAATTTACTTTTTTTTCTCAATATTTTACTATTAGAAAAACTACTGCAGTGATTTGCCCTGTCTGCGTGTAGTATTGCCTGAGTGAAGGCCTATACTCAGGTTAAACACCTAGAGTGACATTGCTGGAACAAAAGGTAAGTGCGTGTTTGTCAGATATTGCTAAATTCTTCTCTAAAAGGGTGGTGCCAATTTTGATTTCCAGTGGCAATATATGAAAGTACCTGTTTCCTTTGTAACCTTACCAACAGAATGTACTGTCATCTGATAGGTGAGATATGATATCTCAGAGTAGTTTCAATTTTTATTTATATAATTGTTAAGTGAGGTCAAATATCTACATATCTTAAAGATAATTTTTATATATTTCTGTGAATTTTTAAGATAATTTTTCTCTCCTATTTTTTCTTCTTTTGTTTTACTTAAATTTGAGACAGGGTCTTGCAGAATTGTTGAAGCTAGCCTTGAACTTGCAATACTCCTGCCTCAGCCTCCCATATTGCTGGGATTACTGGCTTGAACCACTGGGCACAGCTCTCCCCGTTTTTGCCATTAAAGTTTTGATCTTTTATTTCTCAATTTTTAGGAGTTGTTTTTTAAATATTGTTGATTATTACCATTTGTCTGTACTATATGTACTATTTTCTTCTAGGTCATCAGCTTTTTTTTTTTTTTGCTTTGTTTATGCATTTCTTTTCTCATTCAAAAGTTTATTTTGGGGCTGAGGGTATGTCTTAGAGGTAGAGCACTTGCCTAGCATGCTCAGGGCCCTGTGTTTAATGCCCAGCACTGAAAAATAAGTTTATGTGGTCAAATTTATGTCTTTTCTTTTACTGCTCCCTCACTTGAACATATATTTTTTTAAATATTTATTTTTTAGTTGTAGTTGGACACATACCTTTATTTTATTTTTTATTTTTATATTGTGATAAGGATCGAACCCAGGGCCTCGCACATGATAGGCAAGCACTCTACCGCTGAGCCACAACCCCAGCCCATCTTGAAGATATTTTGAAAGCCTTTCCCTAAGCTGAGTTAAATTTACCGGTGTTTTCTTCTAATACTTACATGGTCTTATATTTTCCCATTAAGATATCTGATGAGTTTAAAATTTATTTATTCTTAGGCATGGTGTAAGTTATGGACATAATCTTACCTTTCTACTACTACTACTGGGGCTACTCAGATGCCCCAGTAAAATTTATTTACCCCAGTGATTTAAGATGTCACTCTTATCATATACAGATTTTTCTATATCTACTAGGGTCTATTACTGGAATTTCTATTTAATTCCACTGGTCAGCTACTCTATGCATCAGTACAAACTACTTCAGTTATGCAGGATTTATAGCATGTTTTAATATTTGGTAAGGTTTCTGTTTCTTTTTCTGTGGTTGCAGGGGGTATTTGTTTTGTTCTATGAATTTTAGTATACACTTGTATTTTTATTGGGATTTATTAGCTTTACTGATGAACTTTTGGAGAATTGATATCTTTATAAAGAATCATACGTATATGTATATACATAGATAAACACACACACACACACACACACACACACATATATATATATATATATATATCTGAAAGATAGAAAAATAGACTTGATCAAATGAAAAGACATGCCTTATTTTTAGATAGGGATTTTTCATAAAGATATGTATATATTTATTTATTTTTATGTGGTGCTAAGGCTTGAACCTAGTGCGTCACACGTGCTAGGCAAGCGCTCTACCGCTGAGCTACAGCCCCAGCCACTCAACTTGTTCCTATTTGTTGTTATTATCAGGGGATTTTTTTTTTTTTACCACTATATCCTCTAACTGGTTACATTTCACTCTAACTTGTTCACATTTCATGCATATGAAAACAATTTGTTCCTCTGTTAATTTTATATGAAGCTTTCTTTCAGAATTCTTTTAGTCTTTTAGTTTATCACTGATTCTCTAAGGTTTTCCAGCTGTACTATCACATCATCTGCATATATAGATTTTTTTACTTTCTTTTCTTTTTTTGTACTAGGGATTGAACCCAGGTGCACTTTACATTTGAGCTTACATCTCCAGCCCTTTTTATGTTTGATTTTGAGACAGGGTCTCACTAAGTTGCTGAGGCTGGCCTTGAACTTACAATCCTTCTGCTTCAGCCTCCCAAGCTGCTAGGATTACAGGTGTGTGCCCCTGTGCCACTCTAGATATTCTTACATTTATAAAAACTTATTTTTTTTTTACCAATTTTTAGGTTTCCAATTTTTTTCTTGTCTTATCATATTGGCAAAGACCTCCAATATGAAGATGTATTTGTAGTAATTAGAGATAGCAGGCATCTTTGCCTTGATAGAAATCTTAGTGGAAATGATGTTAGATGCTGACTTTAGGACTATTAGAAGTTATTTATTAGTTCCTACTTGTTGCCTTTTTGTCAGGAGTAGGTGTTGAAATTTGTCAAAGTCTCTTTCAGCATCTACAAATATAATCATACATCTTCCCCCCTTATATCTATTATTATGACATATCATATTTAATGGATTTATTAATATTGAACTAAACTTTCACTCCAGGAAAAACATTCTCATTTGGTCATGGTGCATTATTTTCTTAAAGCTGTACTGGATTCTGTTTCCTAATTTAACACTTTTATTTTTGATAAGTAATACTGGTCTTGAGTTTTCTTTCCTATTTTTTATATATTTTCAGTATCAGGTTTAAGTATATGGGTTTTACTTGTGTCACAAAAAGGAATAGCAGATTTTTCTTCATTTTCAGTGCTTGGAAAAAAAATTTACAGAACATCAGGGCTGTTAGGGTTAGGGGTTTATGAGGTTTCCTCAATACTAGTTTGTTTCTTCTATGGAAATTAATCCCTTTAAATTTTATAACTCTATAGGGTCAATTTGTGTTTACCTAAAAAATTACACATTTAACCTAGGTTCTCAAATGTGTTTGCATATAGGGTTTTGCAAATTAGTCACTTGTAATTTTGGTGGGGCAGAGAAATGAGGATTGAGCCCAGGGACACTTTACCACTAAACTACATCCGCAGCCCCTTTAATTTTTTTATTTTGAGACAGGGCCTTACTAAATTGCCCAGGTTGGCCTTGAACTTATGATCCTCCTGCCTCAGACTCCTGAGTCATCAGGATTACATGTGTACACCACCTCACGCAGCAATCACTTACGATTCCTCTTTCTTTTTTTTTTTTTAATATTTATTTTTTAGTTATTGGCGGACACAACATCTTTGTATGTGGTGCTGAGGATCGAACCTGGGCCGCACGCATGCCAGGTAAGCGCGCTACTGCTTGAGCCACATCCCAGCCCCACGATTCCTCTTTCAAGGGTTATGATTTCTTTGCCATTTTTTATTTTGAATTTATGTTTTCTAACTTGCTTCTTGATCAAGTTAGTGGTTTGGCTACTTTTGTGACTTTATTCAAAAAACCAGAATTTTGAGTGATTAATTAGATCTTCTGCTTTTCTATTCTATGCTTAAGTAATTTCTACCACTATGAAGTTCTTTTTGATCATTGTTTTAATGCAGCCCAGAGTCTGTGTAGAAACTCCAGTCCCTCTTTCAGTCAGTGCTTCCTCCCATCAAAGGAACCACTCCCCTGGCTGCTCTCACTAGTTTTGTCCTTTTTTGGTATTCCTACCTGTGAAGTCAGAGAGTATGTAATGTTTTATGTCTGGCTTTTTTCACTCAATGTCATGTATATGAGGGTCAATGTATATACCAGTAGTTCCTTGCTGATGATAATTTATTTTATAAATTTATTTATCTGTCAGCACATTATTACTGATAATGAATATTCTCTGAGCAACCTACTGTGTGTTGGGCTTTGCAATAACACCAATCTTTTTTTTTTTTTAGAGAGAGAGAGAGAGAGAATTTTTTTTTTAATATTTATTTTTTAGTTTTCGGCAGACACAACATCTTTGTATGTGGTGCTGAGGATCAAACCCGGGTCGCATGCTTGCCAGGCGAGTGCGCCACCGCTTGAGCCACCTCCCCAGCCCATAACACCAATCTTAACCAAGGGCTGTGATTAATCCTATGCCCAGCATGCCTGACATGATATACACTGCAAAATACAAAAACAGAACGATAAGAGTACATTTCATCATCACTGCTGCAGCTTTGCTGAGGTTAGAGAAATAGCCACTAGGATGATGCTTAAGACCACGGTGAGAAGGCCTTCAACTATTCATCTTGAAAGGAGTGGTTCTCAACCTTCTGCATGAGAACTACCAGAAAGGCTTGATGAAACACAGTTTGTGGGGAGCTTCAGCCCCCAGAGTTTCATATTCAGTAGGTCTTGGGTGGGACCTGACAAGACAGTTCTAACAAGCCTCCAGGGGATGCTGCTGTGCTGGTCTAGGGATCACACCTTGGAAAGCACTACTTCAGGGTGCCAGGATAACAGAACTTGATGTGGTTCTTTCACCATCATCAGAGGCAGCTCAGGGTTCCTGCGTCTCTTCTGTAACCCGAATTATCAGTGCCGCAGTCTGGCTGGGCACAAAATCACGAGCCACCACACAGCTTGTAGATTCAAACAGCAACTCTTTATTCCCGAACTCACACCAGCCGTCTACAATCACGTTCTGGGGAAATCCACGTTCTCTGCCCAAATCCACCCCCACTGGGCTTCTGTCTCCCCAAAAATACTGTCTGAATCCCGTGAGAACTCAAGGGGAACTCAGGCAGCAGGATATGCCCTATTCCCAGCAGGAATAACCTTAAACCTGGATCCACCCTAAACCCGGATAGTCCTAAACCGGGAACGCCCTAAACCCGGATTATCCTAAACCGGGAACACCCTAAACCCGGATCTGCCCTGGTCCTTGAGCAAGGTCACCTTAGATGCAATGTGACTGCAAAATGTCCTATTTCCACGAGTCCTTCCACTAAGCAACATGGGGTATGCTGGCAAGGAAATTGTCATACCTACTTGGCTAATGGCTCCCAGCAATCAGGAGTTACTTGAGCCGAGAACTGGTGCTAGAGGGCTCTCAGACACTTAGGCTTGGAATGAATCATCAGGGGTCTCTCTCTAGGTACTGAACTGGTATGGAGGAAGCTAGGCTCAGCAGTGCTGTCACCTGTGATGCTTTTTTTGTATCAATGAGGAGGGGGCAAAAGTCATCTAGTACAGATATATGATCAGTAGGATAGGGAAGATGGGGACTGGTTTTATTTTTTTTCAGTATATAAACTATTTATTAACAGAAAAGACCTACAGACTCATTTCTTTTTCTTTTTTTTAAATTTTTTATTGTTAGTTGTTCAAAACATTACATAGTTCTTGACATATCATATTTCACACTCTGATTCAAGTGGGTTATGAACTCCCATTTTTACCCCATATACAGATTGCAGAATCACATCAGTTACACATCCATTGATTTACATATTGCCATACTAGTGTCTGTTGTGTTCTGCTGCCTTTCCTATCCTCTACTATCCCCCCTCCCCTCCCCTCCCCTCCCCTCTTCTCTCTCTACCCCCTCTACTGTCATTCATTTCTCCCCCTTGTATTATTTTTCCCTTTCCCCTCACTTCCTCTTGTATGTACTTTTGTATAACCCTGAGGGTCTCCTTCCATTTCCATGCAATTTCCCTTCTCTCTCCCTTTCCCTCCCACCTCTCATCCCTGTTTAATGTTAATCTTCTTCTCCTGCTCTTCGTCCCTACTCTGTTCTTAGTTACTCTCCTTATATCAAAGAAGACATTTGGCATTTGTTTTTTAGGGATTGGCTAGCTTCACTTAGCATAATCTGCTCTAATGCCATCCACTTCCCTGCAAGTTCTATGATTTTGTCATTTTTTAATGCAGAGTAATACTCCATTGTGTATAAATGCCACATTTTTTTTTATCCATTCGTCTATTGAAGGGCATCTAGGTTGGTTCCACAGTCTTACTATTGTGAATTGAGCTGCTATGAACATCGATGTAGCAGTGTCCCTGTAGCATGCTCTTTTTAGGTCTTTAGGGAATAGACCGAGAAGGGGAATAGCTGGGTCAAATGGTGGTTCCATTCCCAGCTTTCCAAGAAATCTCCATACTGCTTTCCAAATTGGCTGCACCAATTTGCAGTCCCACCAGCAATGTACAAGTGTACCCTTTTCCCCACATCCTCGCCAGCACTTGTTGTTGTTTGACTTCATAATGGCTGCCAATCTTACTGGAGTGAGATGGTATCTTAGGGTGGTTTTGATTTGCATTTCTCTGACTGCTAGAGATGGTGAGCATTTTTTCATGTACTTGTTGACTGACTGTATGTCCTCCTCTGAGAAGTGTCTGTTCAGGTCCTTGGCCCATTTGTTGATTGGGTTGTTTGTTATCTTATTGTCTAATTTTTTGAGTTCTTTGTATACTCTGGATATTAGGGCTCTATCTGAAGTGTGAGGAGTAAAGATTTGTTCCCAGGATGTAGGCTCCCTATTTACCTCTCTTATTGTTTCTTTTGCTGAGAAAAAACTTTTTAGTTTGAGTAAGTCCCATTTGTTGATTCTAGTTATTAACTTTTGTGCTATGGGTGTCCTATTGAGGAATTTGGAGCCCGACCCCACAGTATGTAGATCGTAGCCAACTTTTTCTTCTATTAGACGGCGTGCTACAGACTCATTTCTTCTTAGATACACCCACAGTGCGGCCGCGGCGCCCAGTGGTCTTAGTGTGCTGGCCTCGGACACGAAGGCCCCAGAAGTGGCGCAGTCCCCTGTGGGCCCTAATCTTCTTCAGTCGTTCTAGGTCCTCCCGGAGTTTATTGTCTAGACCATTGGCCAGAACCTTGTCAGGGGTAGAAGGAAGTTCTCCTTCAAAGAATAGCCTGACACTTACAAGAAACAACCCCCTGGGAGACATCCTGCCTGGGAGACATCCTGCAGCCATCTATCTCCCTGAGACATCCTGCGGCCACCTGTCTTCCTGAAACATCCTGAGGTTATCTCACCTTATGAAGACATCCAGCAACTGCCCATAAGAGAGCTTCCCCATCCCCAGCATATAAATACCCCTGTGTGAACAATAAAAGTTTGCAGCTTGATCAGAACTCCTGTCTTGCTGTCATCTCTCGTGTTTCTTGTCCCTTCATTCCTCCCCACCTAGGTTCGCCACCCATGTTGATGTGTCCTGCCGGCCGGGACATTTGGCGCCCAATGTGTGCCTTAGCCTTTGACTGAGGGGGAATGCCGTCCTCCGGGAAGACTTGGCCAAGCGGAGCTCGCGATCGCCTCGGCAGACACCACCGAGAGACAGATCCAGGAGGAGAGTGGGGACGACGCACGGTGAGTGATCCACCATGGGACAAGCAGTTTCGTCACATGATTTGTTTTTGTCAGGCCTCAAGGAGGCCCTCAAGACACAGGGGGCATGTGTTAAGAAAAAGGACTTAAAATTATTCTTTTCATACATAGGAGAATTGTGTCCATGGTTTCCCCTTGAAGGGACCATTGATGGTAAAAGATGGCTTAGAGTAGGAGACTGTTTAAAAGATTATTATGAATCCTTTGGCCCAGAAAAGGTGCCTGTTCCCACCTTTTCTTACTGGAACTTAATTAATGAAATTCTTAAAAGTTCACCCTTTGACAATGGTACCTTAAAACTTGTCAGGATTGGGGAAGAGGCTATGCAAAAGACCTCTCGTCCCCCCTCGGCATGCCCTTCAGTTAGTATAGACATAGACCCTTCTCAGTCTCCCCAGGACCCTGGGAACCTTCCTGGTCCCCCTCAAAATCCCACCCTAATGAATAAGGCTCCAACGGTTACCAACCGCCTTTATCCAGTTTTAAATCCCGGAGACACTTTGACCCCTGGGGAGGAGGCTACCTTGGAGAAGGAAGCAGCTCTCTACCATTCAGAAGACCCGCCACCTCTCAGGACCCCGCCACAGCCTATAGGACTTACACATCCACCTCCCTCCTATATCCCTCCTGCCTTTTGTGCTCCAGCTCTTCAGGGGCCAACTGCCCCCTCAGATATTTTTTCCCCACTTCCCTTGCCTAACCTGGCTCCCTTGCGAGAGTCTCTCCAACATAGACGGGAACAGATCCAACTTTTAAAAGAATTAAGATCCCTTGACTCTGAGCTCCGCTCATTAGCCTTAGGCACGGAGTCAACACTAGCTGGCCCAAGGCGGTCTAATACAAAGGCTAAGCCTTCCCAGTCACCCGCAGTCAGATAGATAAGCCCGCCCAGGCTGAGGACAGACTTAGACAAGGATCAAGAGGAGGAAGGGGGGGGGGGATGGCAAGAGGAAGATCAGGATGAGGAGGATGAGGAGTTCACCCCTAGGCAGGAAGGAACCCAGAGTGTCTACAAAAAATTAAGCCTGCGTTTTCTTGAAAAACTTAAAAAGGCTTGTGCTCACTATGGCCCCACTGCGCCTTATACATTGGCTTTATTAGAAAGCCACAGCGCACAATGGCTTACTCCCAATGATTGGAAATTTTTAGCCTGAGTTACCCTCAATGCCGGAGACTTCCTGTTATGGAATGCAGATTTCAAAGAGCACTGTCGGGAAACTGCTCAAAAAAATTTAACTAAGGCCTCCTCTAAATCCTGGACTTATGTTAAGCTAGTGGGCAATGCGCCCTTTGACACTAACCCTAAACAGGCGCGTTTCCCTGCTGGACTTTTGGAGCAGATTCAGACGGCTGGCTTACATGCTTGGAGACGCCTCCCTCAAAAGGGCTCGGCTACCACTTCCCTGGCAAAAATCCGACAAGGGCCCGATGAGCCTTATAGCGACTTTGCTGCCCAGCTTAACCTAGCTGCGGAACGCTTGGTCCAAGCAAAAGCGAAAGCACCTTTGTAAAACATCTTGCCTTTGAAAACGCCAACCCGGCATGTCAGGATGTTCTTTGACCACATAAGGATAAAGGGGAACTTTCTGACTTTATGAGACTCTGTGCCAGGGTGGGTGTGGCCCATGCCATGGGTCTCGCCATAGGTGCCGCCTTTACCAAGGCCTTTCACAATCCTGGCTCACGTACTTGCTTTACTTGTAAACAACCTGGCCATTTTGCATGCGAGTGAACGACAGGCAAACAAAGCCTAGGGATAGCGTCTCAAACCGGGGCTAAACCGCCCCCAGCCACCCTTTGCCCTAGTTGTGGTAAAGGTCGTCACTGGGCCAATGAGTGTAGATCTAAGACAAATGCCCTTGGACAGCCTATTTCTTCCTGCTTCTCAGGGGAAACTCCCTGCAGGGCCAGCCCCTGGCCCCGACCTCCCCCAGGACAAACCCAGGGGCAATAAGGTTTGTTCCCTCCCAAACTCCCAACCTACCTCAAAATCCTTCTCCACAATTGCCTCCCTCCAACGAGCCACCCCAGGCAGCACAGGATTGGAGCTCTGTGCTGCCACCGATACAATATTAGACTCAATGCAAGGGCCCCAGATAATACCCACTGGAATTATGGGTCCCCCTCCATCTCATACGTGTGCCCTTATTCTTGGAAGAGCCTCTACTACCTTACAAGGTGTTCAGGTCTTCCCTGACATTATTGATAATGATTTCACTGGAGAAATAAAAATACTGGCCACAGCTATTAATGGAGTTGCGGCCATCCCAGCAGGAACAAGACTTGCACAATTAATACTCCTTCCCTTAGATTCAGGAGGCACTTCCACCACCCAAACCCTACCGCGGGGGACTGCCTCCTTGGGCTCCTCTGATGTGTATTGGGTTCAGCCCATTTCTCACAATAGACCCACCCTTACCTTACTTATTGAAGGAAAGGAATTCCAAGGAATTCTAGATACTGGAGCTGATGCCACAATTATTTCTCAAAAATACTGGCCATCAGGTTGGCCCCTCACCCCATCCTTGACTGACCTTAAAGGGATAGGACAGTCAAAAAATCCTCTGGTCAGCTCTAGGGCTCTTAGCTGGACTGATAAAGAGGGTAATAAGGGAACTGTCACTCCTTTCGTTGTTCCTGACCTCCCTGTTAACCTATGGGGCCGAGATATTTTGAGTCAAATGGAAGTTATTCTTGCCAGTCCCAATTCCATGGTGACTCATCAAATGCTTCATATGAATTTTGTCCCTGGTACAGGCCTTGGGAGACTGAGACAAGGACTGGTTGAGCCTATACAACCCATACAAAAAACAAATACATATGGACTTGGGTATTCGGATTTTTAGTGTCGGTCCCTGACCCTCCTGTACCCCATGCAGATAAAATTATTTGGGAGACTCAGACTCCTGTGTGGGTGGATCAGTGGCCCCTTACCCAAGAAAAATTGGAGGCTGCCTCCATGTTAGTGCAGGAACAGCTGGCAGCCGGCCATGTAGAGCCCTCAACCTCACCATGGAATACTCCTATTTTTGTTATCAAGAAAAAATCAGGCAAGTGGCGCCTTTTACAAGATTTGCGCGCCATTAATAAAGTTTTGCGCCCGATGGGAGCACTACAGCCAGGCATTCCCACACCAGTGGCTATTCCCAAAAACTATTGTAAAATGGTTATTGACTTAAAAGATTGCCTTTTTACCATTCCTTTACATCCTGAGGATAGACCCTATTTTGCCTTTAGTCTCCCTCGCATTAATTTTCAGGGCCCTGTGCAGAGATTTCAATGGAAGGTTCTTCCCCAAGGTATGGCCAACAGCCCTAGTCTTTGCCAAAAATACGTTGCTCAAGCAGTAGACCCTGTGAGAGAGTGGTGGCCACAAATTTATATTTTACATTATATGAATGATTTGTTAATTGCTGCACCTAATACCCATGACCTTAATAATTGTTACTTGGACCTTTACAAAACCCTCACTACCTTGGGACTACAGATAGCTCCTGATAAGGTTCAAACACAGGACCCTTATACCTATTTGGGCCTTAAACTTCAAGATAATCAGATCCAAATTCCTAAAATACAACTACGTGTGGACCATCTTCACACCCTTAATGATTTTCAAAAATTACTGGGGGATATTCAATGGCTAATACCATATTTAAAATTACCCACTTGTGTACTTTTGCCCCTTAATGATATTTTGAGAAGTGATTCCCACCCCTCCTCCCCTCAAAAGCTTACTCCCAAGGCACGACAGGCATTAAACCAAGTCACAGAAGCCATTGCCCAACAGTTTGTTACACAAATTTCTTATAACCTTCCTCTGGTTCTGGTTATTTTACACACTCTTCATACACCCACAGGAATATTTTGGCAGCGAGATCCACATTTTAAAAATAAAGGCTGCCCCTTGCTTTGGGTCCATTTACCCACCACATCCTCCAAGGTTATTACTGTTTATCCTGCTCAGGTAGCTTCTATTATTATTAAAGGTCGCTTGCTTTCTCGACAACATTTTGGCAAAGACCCTGATAATATTTTAATTCCGTATACTAAGGACCAAACCCAATTTTTACTACAGACAGGGGATGAATGGGGTATTGCCCTATCAGGCTTTTTGGGAACAATTGATAACCACCTCCCCAATGACCCCCTTTTACATTTTGCCCAATTACATCCATTTATTTTTCCCAAAATTACTCAAAAGGCTCCCATTCCTCAAGCCCTTACTGTCTTTACAGACGGTTCCAGTAATGGCCGTGCGGCCTTTGTTGTCAATAACCAGCCTACCACCTTTGATACTGTCTATCAGTCAGCACAGCTTGTGGAATTGTTTGTCATAACACAAGTTTTTATAACATTTTTTGATAAGCCTGTTAATATTTATACAGACAGTGCCTACATTGCTCATTCTGTGCCCCTGCTGGAGATTTCACCCGCCATTAAGGCTTCTTCGAATGCGGCCTTTCTGTTTCACCAGCTTCAGCAGCTAATTCAGGCCAGACAACACCCATTTTTCTTAGGACACATCAGGGCACACTCAGATCTTCCCGGCCCTCTAACACAAGGTAATGCCTAAGCTGATGCAGCAACTTGTTCCATCTTTCCAATTTTTGTTGGCTCCGTTCAAAAGGCCACAGAGTTACACAATCTTCACCATCTAAATTCCCAGAGCCTTCGATTACTTTGTAAAATTACCAGGCAACAGGCACGAGAAATACTAAAAGCATGCCCTGCTTGCGCTGTCTCTCTCCCCATTCAACACTTGGGAGTTAACCCCCGAAGATTACTGCCCAATCAGGTTTGGCAAATGGATGTTACTCATTTTCCTGAATTTGGAAAAACCAAATATATACACGTTTCTATAGATACCTTCAGCGGCTTTATTTTTGCATCACCACATTCTGGAGAGGCTACCAAAGATGTCCTTTCTCATCTTGTTTCAGCTGTTGGGAAAAGTATAAATGGCAGCCATACCCCAGAGAAAAAATCCCAACATGGCCCCTAAGGACCTCTTCTTCCTACCTTCTTCTTTTCTGCAGTGGCGCGAAAAGTTCCCGCCCATGTGAACTCTCCCGCCAGCACCAATTTCAAATCTCGCTGGCGGGGAACCTTAGCCCCAATGAGAACTAATTCCTGGGCTCCGGAGCTGATATCTGGAAGAACTTGCCAATAAACGGGTTGCCTGCCATTTAGCTAAGCCCTACCATCTCCCCCTTAGTTCTATATAAGCACACTGCTTTTTGCAATAAAATTGGAATTCTCCCGGCGAAGTGTCTTTGCGTGGGGAATTCTTTCATCAGCCTTTTCCGTAATGGGTAAACCAATACATATTAAAACAGATAATGGTCCTGCATATACCAGTGCCAAGTTTAAACAGTTTTGTGCTACCTTACAAATTTGTCATACTACTGGAATTCCATACAACCCTCAGCATTGTGGAACGTGCCCACCTTACCTTAAAAACTTGGCTAACCCGCCTAAAGGCTTCCGCCCTTGTATTTACCACTCCCAGGGATCGCCTTAACCATGCATTATTTGCCCTTAATTTTCTTACCCTAGACAGTGAAGGCCATTCGGCCGCAGACAGACACTGGCATCCCTCGTCCAATTCTGTTCGCCCACCTGTTATGTGGCGCGATCCCCTTACAAATAAATGGAAAGGCCCAGATCCTGTCCTCATCTGGGGACGAGGCTCAGCTTGTGTTTTGGACCAAGAGCAAGCAGCCCCAAGATGGTTACCAGAACGCCTGGTTAAACAGGTTAATGACTTACCTCAACCCAGGGACGGAGAATGAAAGAATTCCCCACGCAAAGACACTTCACCGGGAGAATTCCAATTTTATTGCAAAAAGCTGTGTGCTTATATAGAACTAAGGGGGAGATGGTAGGGCTTAGATAAATGGCAGGCAACCTGTTTATTGGCAAGTTCTTTCAGATATCAGCTCCGGAGCCCAGGAATTAGTTCTCATTGGGGCTAAGGTTCCCCGCCAGCGAGATTTGAAATTGGCGCCGGCGGGAGAGTTCACATGGGCGGGAACTTTTTGCGCCACTGCAGAAAAGAAGAAGGTAGGAAGAAGTCATTAGGTTCCATGTTGGGGTTTTTCTCTGGGGTATGGCTGCCGTTTATACTTTTCCCAACAGAGACCCTCCCCCTAAGGACAAATTTTCCTCTTTTGCAGATGCAGCCAACAATCTGTGTGAGGATCCTGCTTAAGGCACTTCTGCTGAACAGGTTTGTACACGGAGGCCTTGACTCTCCACCTTCCAACATCATGGAGTACCTTTTTGGCCCCCCCTGCGAATGCAAGGGAGGATCTTGGACTCAGGCTCCCACTAGTTGGACCCAGACTGCTGACTGCGTGACTAAGGTGGCTTACTTCCGTGCCGAGGTTGACCATAAACTCAGAGGAGTTCATCAGCCTAAATGGGTATGTGTTAACAAGCCAAAGATTATTCCCCCTAGTACAAGTAAAGCTCTCCAAAATTGTTCTGCAACTTGTACGCATACCCAGGCAATGCATGTCTCTTGTTATGCGTCGGCCTCAATTTGTGTTAACAAGCAGGGAGAACAATTTTTTGAAGCCACCCTAACTAAAACTCATTCAGCAGGGGGGACCACTATTCATTATACCCCCGTTCTCTTTGACCGGGGAGGAGAAGGCAAATACACCAAGCTATAGTCAGCTGGGTGCCAAGGCACTGTCGGTAAACCCTTCTGCTGGCCCATTAAGGCCCCTACAGGGGTCTCTGATGGTGGAGGACCCACTGATGCTGTCAAGCATCTTCAGATAATCAAACTTTTGAAACCCCAAATCCCTGAGCTCACATATCATCCCTTAATGCTGCCTAAATCCCAGCTCCCAGATTTAGATACCAATACATTAGATATTTTGGAAACTACCTTCTCCTTGCTTAATAATTCCAACCCCACCCTTGCTGGTGATTGCTGGCTCTGCATGACAGCAGGGGCAATCATGCCTATGGCACTTCCTATTAATTCTATCATAGACAATGATAATACATGCCAACCCAGATTTCCTTTTAAAGTACAGCCTTTAGGCACTTTTACATTATGTCTTTTAGGCGCGATGCAGAATAATACCTATGATATTGATGTTGGAGTTACTTACTTTGGAAATTGCTCAACAGTACAAAATTATTCCTCACCCACCCCACCTCTTTGTCCCCCCAATGGCACAGTTTTTATGTGTGGAGGAAACTCGGCCTTCCCCTGGCTTCCAGCAAATTGGACCGGTGGTTGTGTTCTTGCCTTATTACTCCCTGATATAACTATTGTCCCAGGAGACGAACCTGTACCCATTCCTAGCCTAGACACCTTAGTCAAAAGACACAGGCGGGCAATACAGGCCTTACCACTCCTTGCCAGCCTTGGAATAACAGCTGCTGTGGGCACAGGTACAGCTGGCTTAGGCACGGCTATACACTCTTACCGTCGCCTGTCTCAACAACTTATAAATGATGTACAAACTCTATCAGGAACCATTAAAGATTTGCAGGACCAAATAGACTCCCTGGCAGAAGTGGTCCTTCAAACAGACGAGGCTTAGATTTGCTGACAGCTAACAAGGGAGGTATTTGCTTGGCCTTAGGGGAACGATGCTGCTTTTATGCCAATAAATCAGGCATAGTACGCACTAAAATTAAGCAGCTTCAAGAAGATCTAGAAAAGAGACGAAGGGAACTATTTGAAAATCCCCTCTGGACTGGGCTTAATGGATTTCTACCCTACCTTCTTCCCCTATTAAGTCCTTTGTTGGGTTTACTTTTAATGGTGTCCATAGGACCCTGCATTATAAACAGGCTGGTACAATTTATTAAAGAACAGATTAATATTTTGGCCTCTAAGCCCATATAGGTACACTATCATCGTCTGGAGATGGAAGACCACGCTGCCAACATTTAAAAGGATGTTCTACCCTTCTCACAGGCTTATTTCTTAAGTTTACATCCCCACAGATCTCTCTTTCTTATATAAAAGTATAAGTAACAGCTCTGACCAACCATCTTCTGCCCTTGCCATAAGGGTTCGCTCCTCCATGGGCCCCTCCGCTTGGGGGAGGACGCACCCATGGAGTGAGGACGTTAGGCCATAATAACGGAGGGTGCAGGAAGGACTGCAGGAGGATAGATCCACGGATCCCAAAACCCAAGACCTCTGAGTGACATGCTCTGGTGCATGGCGGTTGTCATGCTTCCCCCTCAAACCTGTCTCCTCCAAAAACATGCCAAGGCCACGAAATCTCCTAGTGAAGATGCTCACTCAGATCAGGAGATATTCTAAGGCCTTCTAGAGGAACAGAGCCTCTATCACCCCCTAAAAACATGGCCAATAAGGTATGGTCAAATATTTTATATAAGAAAGGGGGAAATGTCAGGGGCTAGAAGGAAGTTCTCCTTCAAAGAATAGCCTGACACTTACAAGAAACAGCCCCCTGGGAGACATACTGCCTGGGAGACATCCTGCAGCCATCTATCTCCCTGAGACATCCTGCGGCCATCTGTCTTCGTGAAACATCCTGAGGTTATCTCACCTTGTGAAGACATCCAGCAACTGCCGATAAGAGAGCTTCCCCATCCCCAGCATATAAATACCCCTGTGTGAACAATAAAAGTTTGCAGCTTGATCAGAACTCCTGTCTTGCTGTCATCTCTCATGTCTCTTGTCCCTTCATTCCTCCCCACCTAGGTTCGCCGCCCACGTTGATGTGTCCTGCTGGCCGGGACAGAACCTGGCTGTATTTTCCATCCTTGATATCCTTCTGTCTGTTCAAGAACCAGTCTGGGATCTTGTACTGTTGTGGATTCTGCATAATGGTGATCACACGTTCAACCTCATCTTCAGTGAGTTCTCCAGCCCTCTTGGTGAGGTCAATGTCTGCTTTCCTCAACACCACATGAGCATACCTTTGCCCCACACCCTTAATGGCAGTGATGGCAAAGGCTATTTTCCGCTGTCCATCGATGTTTGTGTTGAGTACTCGCAAAAAGTGCTGGAACTTTTCAGGAATCACTAGAGACATGGCAGCAGCAGAGCGTGTAGGCCTCCTGTGTAAGCGGGGACTGGTTTTAAAGGAAAGGAAATAAAATGCTAATAACTTCAGGACACCTCCCCCTCCTCCAACCTGTTGCCAGGGTTACCTGCCTCCATGGAACTGTTCTTCCCAACAAAGATTTGTTAATGAATGACCCCTGGACTGCTCATCTGAACCCCTGGAAGGGTCCTTGTCCACCTTTTGATCAAGGTAAGATAAGGGGAGAGAGGGTATGAGAACAAAGGAAATCTAAAAATCTATCAAAGGAGCAGGACACCCCTACTCCCTTGGGCACCAACTTCCAACTCAGATCCCTTCCTCTACCTCTGAGGATCTCTCTCTCTCTCTCTCTCTCTCTCTCTCTCTCTCTCTTCTCTTCTCTTCTCTTCTCTTCTCTTCTCTTCTCTTCTAAATAAAACTTTTTGCTCTTGCCTCCGTGTTTCTTAGGTGTTCAAACTTTGGCACCAGGGAAACGGGACTTGGATTCTCCACACCTGCATCATCGTCATCCACATAGTCATCTTCAATACTGCTAAGGACGGACATTTGGGTTCAGGTCAACCTCTAGCTTCCGGAAGCCCTTGGAGACCACACCTGGCTGGATGTCCAAGATACCCTGAGGGAGGCTGGGCCCCTGCTGTTAGCAGTAAAGCATGGCAGAACCTTACAGTGGCTTCACTTTCTGGAAATAGACAAGTTGAACAATAGGCTGCTGAAGCACATACCAGAAAATCCAGCAATTTTAGAAAGTGTGGGCGGGTATGCCAGGGGATAGGGTATTCTCAGTGGCATCACAGTGCAGCTGGCCCTTCCTTACCAGGTCTAAGATCATCCTCTCCTGCTCCTGCCCAGAAGATCTCTTCAGCAAATAGATAATTCTCCTTTTGAAAAGATCCCACAGTGGTTTCCCTGCAGGGGGCCCAGCCGTGCCTAGGAATCCATGCTTCTTATTCTATCTTTGTTTCCAGGTGGGAAGAGGCTTTCAGGACCAACCGTCATTGATACATGATGGATGAGAAAGAACATTGCCAATGCCACTCAGCAATGGGAGTTGGAAGGGAGGTGAAGATGTTGATCATTTGAGCATGAGGGGATTACAGCTGAGGAAGGAATGCCCAGACCCTAGGGTGTTCAGGATGAAGGGGTTGACGAGGACCTTGGCATGTGGCTTATTTCTTTCTCCTGATCTCACAGATACACCTCCAGAGGGTCACGTCTTGGAATTCTGCTTCCTCAGTGGCAGTGCTCTGTTCTGGTGCCGAGTTGTTCAAGAGGAACAGTTTCAGAGAGGGATGAGGTGTTTGGCATGATCTGTCTGGAGATTGACTTTTTTCCTTGGGTCTCAGGAAGCATTTGCATGCACACTGCATCCTAGATACTGGCCCTCTGACTGTGTAGCTCTTAACTTGCTTGCTGTGGGATATCTTGAAAAGCACCCCCCCCCCCCCCAGGCTGGATACATTTTATACTAACAAAATTAGGAATGGACAAATTCCAGAAAAAAGAAAGCTCTTCAGCCCACAAACACAAATTCTTTGATTCTTTGCAAATATGAAATTGTTCTTCAAATGGATTGATGTCTCAGGTATCTGAGGAGAATTAGGATTTAGCCAGCCTGGAGGTACCTGTCCTTAGAAGATGAATGAAGCCCTTCACCAGGGCCAGAACTAGCCCAGCAGTGCACAGTGCCACCTAGTGGTGAGCCTGCACAGGAGGGTTTTCCCTCTAAAAACCCTCTGCACAAAACTGGCTGAACCACAAGAGGGTAAAGCATCCCTTTCAGCCATAAAGATCCAACAGCAACTACCACACTTTTTTTTACATCTCTCTGATTTATGAGGTCTTGCCTCTCTTAACTTACAGTTTCCTCTTCTGTACAATAAGGTCAACCTGGTGAACCTGAACTTCCCTTTCTGAACTGGTTTCTTTATGTAGATCAAAATCCCCTTTTATTTCTTCCCCTGATACTTCCTCTTTCTCTACTTGGAAATAAAGAAAAAAAAAGAAGAAAGTTTTTATTATGTAATGGTAATCTTGTTCTTAGTTAATTTACATTGTTGGAGCAGGCTTAGCCCGCGATGTGTCTGGCAGGCAGAAGTGTAAGTTGCCTATGGATTGCATAATGCAGTTCTAAAACAGGCAGCCTGCTTAAGAAATGATATGAGAATGTGACCCTTTTTTTTTTTCCAAATTGTGAAAGCTACATTACAGTATATTGAGAACTGGAAAGAATACGGACTTCACTTCCATCACCCAGTAGTATCACAGCAGGATTCCAGATGTTACAGTTTGAGATTCTTGTTATTTCACACTTCATTCAGGTGCTATCTTCTGCAGCTGGGAATTAAATTTCATTTGCTCTGAAATACAGTCAATCAAACAAGAAAGTATGGTATGGCAGGACAACTGACTAACTGGTTATTCAGAACGGTCCCTTTGTGAGAGTGATTAGATGTGTTCATTCTCCAACAGCACCGGCTATTAGCACCTTTTTCCATTTTGCCCATTTCACAGCAATAAGGATAACCATTTCGGTGTGCATTTCTTGATTTACCTCTGAGGACGAACATTTCACAGTCTTCGTGACTGTTTATATTTTTCTCTGAATTTTTTATTCCTCTCCTTTGCTTATTTTTATTACCTTGTTTATAGATTTCTTTCTTATTAATTTGAAGGAGTTATTTACATACTAGCAACATTTACAATTTGTCTTAGTTTGCAAATATTCTCTCCCAGTCTATTCATCTTTTGGATTTGTTTTTCATATTTTAAATGGTTACAGGGTAGAACCTTAGTTTTTCTCTATGGCTTTCAAGTTTTCAGTGTTTCATAAAGGCACAGCCAGCACCCTAATGTTAAATAAATTTTTAAAATTTTCTATTATAATAGTTCTGTTTTTTTTTTGTATTTGTGTCTTTAAACTCCAAGGAGTTTATTGTTGTTTAAAGTGTGAGTAGTAAAAAGCAAAGTTCTAACTTTGTTTTTGTCCAAAGTTAGAACCACCCTCCACCCCACCCTTTTCAGAGAGAGTATAAAATGCCACAGTCTTTGGGGGACAACAATTTGGCCACAACTATTTGATTAAGGTGCACATACCATTTGATCCAGCAATCCTACCTCTAGAAATGTCTTTTACAGAAATAAAAAGCATCAGCATATAACATTTCACATGTAAGGTGCTACATCATGTCATTTCTTTTAATATAGCTCCAAAATCTAGAATTACCATGAATGTACAGGAAGAATGTTGTAATAAATTAAAGCAGATCGATTCTATGAAATATTATGAGCTATTTAAAATAAATTAGTAGCTCCCAACATATATTGACTTAGAAAAGTGATCATGTTAAGTGGGGAAAGAAAAGTTACATGACATTAAAAAATACTTTATGTCTGAATATGAATAGGAAAAAAAACATAAATCCTGGGCACAGGGGCACACACCTGTAATCCCAGCTACTCAGGAGGCTAATCAAGAGTATCACTTGAGTGCAGGCATTGGATCAGTCTGAGCATGGTAGGATCCCATCTCAAAAATAAAATAAAATGAACCCATCATGAAATTATCATTGATTTTTCTTTTTTTTTAAATTTGTTTTTAGATATACACGACAGAAGAGTATATTTTGACATATTATACATACATGGAATATAACTTATTCTAATTAAGATCCCATTCTTGCAGTTACACATGATGTGGAATTTCACTGGTCCTATGTTCATATATGAACATAGGAAAGTTACATCTTTATCATTGGTTTTCTTTTTTTTTTTTTTTTAAATATTTATTTATTTATTTTTCGGTGGACACAACATCTTTGTTTGTATGTGGTGCTGAGGATCGAACCCGGGCCGCACGCATGCCAGGCGAGCGCGCTACCACTTGAGCCACATCCCCAGCCCCTATCATTGGTTTTCTTAAGGAGAAGGAATTGGAAGGTCATTGGACTATAAAGAGCAGAGATTATTAATTTTTAAAAAAATATCTTTTTAATTGTAGATAAATACACAGTATCTTTATTTATTTTTATGTGGTGCTGAGGATCGAACCCAGTGCCTCACACACACAGGCGGTGCTTTGCCACTGAGCTTCAGCCCCAGACCCAAGATTATTAATTTTTATTTTGTAGACTTTTTTAATATTTATTTTTTGGCTTTAGGTGGACACAATTTCTTTATTTTATTTCTATATGGATCGAACCCAGTGCCCCATACATGCTAGGTGAGCACTCTACCACTGAGATACAACCCCAGCCGCTAGACTTTTTTTTTTTTTAATACAACAAATCAAGAAAGAAATCTTGTCACTAACTGGTTAATTCTCATAAAAGAGAACTTGTTTAACCTATGGGAGAAAGAAGGATCAATGCTCACATTTTGCCTTCTAAAAGGGCAAAGGGAGACGAGACAAGTGTTTCATGCATGGGAAGGTAGGTAAGTTTCAGAAGGAATAAGCTCCTATGTTGTCAGGGTAGAATGAGAAGCGGCAGACAGGCATCTCAGGAAGACTGATTTTAGCACATGAAGTAAAGTTCTAATCACTAGAAGTGTCCAAAAACTGAAGCATCTGTCACACTGAGTTTGAGTTTTCCATTGCTAGAAATATCAAGCTGAGGCTAGGTGACCATCTGTCATGTGTGCTGTGGAATAAATTTCTAAATTTAACTGGAGGTTGGACTAGATAATTCTACCAATTTTCAGTGCTAAAGTTTGAGTGATTTTTAAAAATATTTTTATCAGTTATTGATGGATCTTTATTTATTTATTTATGTGTAGTGCTGAGAATCAAACCCAGTGCCTCACACATGCTAGGTAAGGGCTCTACCACTGAGCCATAACCCCAGCCCCAAGTTTGATGATTTTAACATCTGAAAAACTTCATTAAAATATAATATTCAAAAGTATGTGGCACACTCCAGTAATCCCTGTTATTCTGGAGGCTGAGGCCAGAGGATCTTGAGTTCAAAACCAGCCTGGGCAACTTAGAGAGGCCCTAGTCTCAAAATAAAATTTAAAAATGTACTGGAGGAGCAGTTCAGTGGTAGAGCATTTGCCTAACATGTGTGAGGCCCTGGGATTAATTCCCAGTATAAAACACACACACACAAAAACCAATCAATCAATCTATCTATCTATCTCTATATAACATTGTAAATTTACAATGTTATATAGAGATAACTTAGAAATCATCCTCACCTGCATATAAAGTTCCAATATTCATAGAGGGAACCATTATATTATAGATGGGGTATTTGATTAGAAACTTATATCATTTGTGTTCCTAAACTGTTTAAATTTCTATCATTAATGTATTAATTTTGCAATAAAACTCACTAAAATATAAATATCCATCCTCAGCAGATTTACAGTAAAGAGTTGTATATTTAACTGCTTGACAGCGTGGACACAGTGCACTAAATATAGATCATAGTTTTTCTTTCTTTCTCTGATGGTGTTTTATTTTTCTTTTTTAATATTGCCAGTTGCTTTCATCCCAAAAGTAAATGCAAGGCCCTTCCATTATGGAAGCATTAAGGCTCCGTGAAAAGCATATTTGGAGATAAAATAAATTAATAAATACATAAACACTTCTACTTTAAGAAGCATGAGAGTTTTTTTGTTAAAGAATCTTTCAAAAATGAAGACAAAGCAGCTCAGGAACCTGAAGCAGGAGGATCACAAGTTCAAAGCCACCCTCAGCAACTTAGCAAGATCCTGTCTATAAATAAAACATTAAAAAGGGCTTGGGATATGGTTCAGTGGTAAGAACCCCTAGGTTCAATCCTGGGGGGGGGGAAAAGACAAAATATTTTTTCAGACATAAAAAACTAAAAGACTTTGTGACTAGCAGATTCACAGTACAAGAGATGAATAAGGAAATCCTTTAGGTAAAAGGAAAGTATGGATCTACATATACAAAAAACATCTTGAAAAAGAAAACAAATCATTCTAACAGGAGTGAGATGGAATCTCAGTATAGTTTTAATTTGCATTTCTCTAATTGCTAGAGATGTTGACCATTTTTTATATATTTGTTGACCATTCATATTTCTTCTTTTAGAAGGGTCTGTTCCATTTCTTTGCCCATTTATTGATTGGGTTATTATTATTTTTTTTTTGGTGTTAAGCTTTTTGAGTTCTTTGTATATCCTGAAAATTAATGCTCTATCTGATTGGAGGTGGCAAAGATTTTCTCCCATTCTGCAGGCTCTTTCTCCATGTTCTTGACTGTTTCTTTTGCTGTGAAGAAGCTTGTAGTATGGAGATTCCTCAAAAAACTAGGAATGGAACCACCATTTGACCCAGTTATCCCACTTCTTGGCATATATTCAAAGAACTTAAAATCAGCATACTACAATGACATGGCCACATCAATGTTTATAGCAGCA